ACTTAACCAACGCTCAATTTCTAGCCAGTTGTATTGCGTCATCCAATTTACTTGCTCAATTTCAGGTCTAATTTAAATGGCATTATTCTCTACTCCACCTCTACTTAGTCTCTACCTCTACCTGTAATTACCTCTTTTGCTATCCTGACCCAAGTTGAAACATTTTAGTCAATTATATTACGTCATCTAATTTACTAACTCATTCTTACTTTATTTGCTGTCTGATTAACCTTGTTCCTGTATTAGATTATTTTTGTATTACCTGATTAATTATCTAAACTTGACAAACCTCATGTACACACACACACAAATAATTACACATAAATGCGACTGTAGAGCTATGTGTTTTCACATCCTCTAGGCTACCTGTATTGGTATTGATTTTTTCCTTGACTTGAACTTTGACCCTTTGTGTGTGCGATTTCCTTTTTTATCGATTGGTAAATTTTGTCTATTTCTACGTGTCAATTGATTAACGATTCAGTGGAATACCAGGCTTCTAAAAAACACAAAGAGTCACATCCAAGGTCACCAGGAGGGATAACTGATAAATTCATGGAGAAATCTAAAAGTTCACTTCAACAGATTGAAGTATGCGCTGAAGATGTTGCCTAGTGGAGAGGCGATGAAAGCTTAGCAAATAAACTACCATCCAGCCAACACAGAGAACACAACTACATCAAAATCATTCAACTGAGCTACTAATCCTCACCATCACTGTTAGATATCTTCCCTGTTGTATATTTATGCTTAGCTCAATTATTCATGGTTTCCAATTTTTATGACGAACTGACTTCATTTACAGATCACTGTACACTAAAGAGTACTGGACGATTGTTTCGTCATAGTCTCTAGACACCTCAGCATTATATATTCATGACCCCACCAGAGGTCGAATCCAGAACCTTCAGAACACAAGGCGTTATTATTCAGGTACTGTGATGGAATGCACCGGTGCATGAATTCCAACTTATGTCAATTCACGCTAGAGTGCGTCCACTAGTTATAAGTCATCAGTGTGTTTCTTTCCTCAGGTCTAACTTGGTTTTGCCGTACTGGTCACAACTTCTCGTCAGATCTTTAAGCAGCTTCATCCTGTAATGAAACACTAGTGTGTAGTAGATTAATTTTCAGGTGTTGTTTTTACAGGGATTCGACGGCTTTCAATTTCGGCTACGAAATAACTAAAGTCAGGAAACCGTCCTTCAAGTGCCTCCACTACGACCAACCAGCAAGTGCATAAATAAGGTGACATTCATAAGGAAATGTAAACCGTTCAACTGCAGATATTTTCTAGAAGCTTTACTTAATATATATATGAACAGTTGAACATTGAACCACTTAGATCATTCCCGTGCTTTTTGAAATCACAGCTTTCCTGACTCACAACAGCGTAGAAAGAGTAAAAATTTTCTAGAAATATTTTCTTTTTAAGTTTTTGAAATTTAAAGAATTTACGTGTGTTTTATCACATTTAAAAATGCTCATTTGCCTTTAACAGTGAGAACTTCGAATAGGGAAAAATTGAGGCTTTTCTAAATTTATCTTCGGCTTGTTTTTGATCGGAATTAACTGTAATTCAATGTTTTTGTGACTTCTATTGCAAAATTTTACTCCTTTCGTTTTTCTAAAGCATCCTTTTTTAGAAAAATATCAGATTTTCTTTGCTGAATGACAAGTGGTTTATGTACTCGCGTGTATTTACTTAAACGTCTAGGTAAATATTATTGGAGAACGCAGCTGACTACTAGATCTTATTATGATTACGTAAATCTTGGCATTCAAATGTGAAATTGTTTGTGAAAAATAATTCCAGAGTTTTAAAAACTAACTTGTATTTTACAGAGAAAAGAACTGTCTGTAGTATTACTGCATACTTCAAAAAGGATAGATAAAAATTAACTTAAACTACCAGTATTTTATAGTTTTAATATTTTAGTGTTGGTGACACAGTGGTTAGGACTCTCGCCGACTATGCACATGGTCCGGGGTTCGAGCCCACGCCGACGCACACCTGATATCTATGGTCGGCCTGCGGATTTTGGGCTACCGATATTCAAGCTAAAAATTCCACACTTGTACCAAAAATACGGTGTGGAATCAATTTGTAACCAAAAATAAAAAAAATAAAAAATAAAAATAAAAAAAATAAAATAAATTTGCGGGGATTTGACTTGATTGACTACAGGATTCCATCATGAGCTGACATCGGTTAGAGAACCACTAGAAAACCATTACTCTAGTACTGGACAGCCAGCTGTTTCTTCAGCCTAATGTGGGACTAAATCTTCATCAGTACGAATCCACCCCACCCACAGAGTTCGAACTAATGGCCTCCCAGTTACAAGGCCAGGTAGCTCTTATGCTATTTATCCACTGGAACGTGATCTAGTCTTCAACCCATGAAAACCAACTTTTACTAATTCACGATATAGCGCGACCACTAGCGAATGACGTCAGCATTGCAGCGGGTGCTTACTGATGAAGAGACTTAACCAGGACGAAACAGATGGTTGTTCAGTACTCCCACATTTACTAGTGGTTCCCTTACAGATGTCAGCTCATGAAATCCAGAAAATAATTTGTTATTGAATAAGCTATGAAAATTACACTGAGAAATATCAGTGTGAGTAAAATTTATTTTGAATAATTCTCAGAGTGATATATATATATATATTAATATTTACTGTTGACATGAAGGAAGCAACCTCCTTTACCTATCCACCTACTTTGGAAGCATAGTTTCAACTACAGGCCAACGGAACTGATGAGGATATCAAAGTGAGGATTGGGCAAGCAAGAGAAGCTTTCATTCTTATCGAGTTTGTGTGGAGGTCAACAATCAGCACTCAGTTTGAAAAATAAGATCCGGATTTTTTCAACTCCAATGTGACATCTGTGCTACTATGCGGATCAGAGAATTGACGCGTCACAAAATAGGCACTTCCAACAAACTACCGACCTTCATTAACAGAAGTCTTCGCTCAATATTTTTGCTCCAGATCAGATGGCCGTCCAGAAAAGATCAGCAGCAAGGAACCAACGAGCCATTAGGAAACAATTGTACAACATATATGCAGGAAGAAATGGAGGTGTATTGAAGGCGATACTCTCAGAAAACAAACCATCAAGTGAGTGACATCACATGGCAGGTCATCGACTGAGTGGAACCTGAATGGGAAGGAGGCAAGTTAGTTAGTTGTCAGTGTGAGGGTGTTATGTAGGAGGAGGTCATGCGAAGAGAAGATGAACGCATGTGGGCTGACGTGGAGCCAGGTGAAAACTTTCGCAGAGAACTGAACGCAATGAAGATGTACGGCCGAAGCCCTATATTCCTCTAGAAACCAAAAAAAGAAACAATAAAATAGTAATTTACTGTTGATTTTCGGGGGAAAATTCATTGCTGGTCATAATCTTATCAAGTTAATCACACAACCTTCCATCTATGTTGATATGATTCCACCATTTCTCATCTCTTGATTTGATTGGTAATAACATTTTCCATATTTCTGATATTATTGATGAGTTACTTCTATTGCGTGTGCTTGATGTAAACTTGATGAATTTCACCCAACCTCTCACGTGATCTGAGTATGACTTTTAGATACAGTAGAGGCGATTGGAATTCATTTGAACAAGCAACATCTGTGCGTCAGTTCAAAATAAATTTGTACAGCTGCTTTCCTTGCCACGCTCGCTAGTGGCGTGCTATACAGGATGGAGTTCCCTGAAGTTCCAGTGAAAAGTCGTGACCAGTAAGGTTCATCCAATCAAGTGTGAGAATGGATGCAACATCGATGACATTATTTGGTGCTATGTCACGCTAAATCACGAATTGATAGAAGTTAGAACTCATGAGCCATTGAACTGGGTCACAGTGACTTGATGGTTTGTGAGCTTGCTTTGTAACGAGAAGGTCCTGGGTTTGAATCCAAGTGGATGCGCATTGCCGATAACTCCCAAACTAGTAGGAAACACTAGTCCAGCAGTCTCTAGTTTTCAATAGTTCTCTAACTGATATCAATCCATGATCAACTCGTCAATACATTATGTGTATCGATTTTTTGAAAAAGGATTTCCTGCCCTCCTCCTCTTTGAAACATCTTTTGACTTTTTGAGTTTTTACAATTTTTACAATTCTAGCTGTTTCCATTAACTTGTTTGTATTTTACTTATTTCTCCTGAGTCATCAGTGTTATTTTACAAATTTCTTGATTATGTAATAACTTGTTGCTAACGCCTAAGAATCAACTTATCTTGAATTCCGTAATTAATTGATTTTCACCATTCCTTTCTTCGAAACTTACACATCTTGTTAATAACATCCATTAATTATTTGTTTTGATGAACTTTAACATCTAGATTTTGCCCGAGTCTATACCTAAAACAGATTAACTAAATGATATATATATCCATATAATATGTGTGTTTGTTTGACAGTCTGTTCTTGGTGACATGTATCCATATAAATTGTGTGTTTGTTTGACGGTCTGATATATTTTGCTATGTATATATGGATCGATATTCCATTATAATTAGCCAATCATGTTAAGACTGTCTATTAATTTGTTCATTTTGAATATTCGCTCTCACACTTGTGTTCACACACTTGTTCGGACATTCATATATATTTTTTTGCTCCCACACTCTTGTGTGACATATTGATTCTCCTTGTGTTTGGAAAATAGAAGTATCATCGTAAACCTAGTGGTCTTCTGATTTCCGTCTTTCTTGCGTCAGGACTATTCAATTCTCGACCACTACATAACAATAATTTGGAGACGAGTACATAATACTAAAATAACCACTTAATTGGTAAAATAAATTTTGATGTAAGATGTAAACCAGCCGATGATGTGGAACTGCTAATTGAAAAGGAATACATGTTTTTTCACTCAATCTGTTGTTTTTGAACATACCTAGTATACTTTTATTGTTCCTTTCGGAGGGTTCACTTGATATGCATTAATATTATTATTATTACTTCCAATTTACTTTAGAAATCTTGACAATGACAAAGAAGATCTATTCAAAGATTCTTCATGGCCTAAACTTGATGTCAAACTATCGATAAAAGATGAAAATGGACAATCTGTACAAACAATACTTGAATCTGCCGCTGTAAGATTTGAAGCTGAATTAATCGATGAATTAAGTAAGTTCAGCCTAACCGCGTATTATAACAATTATTAGTTATAAGCGTTTTGATTCGAAGCTAAACTTGCCCAACTTTTCATCAAATATTTGACAATATTTCTAGCAATTACAAAGAAGAATCACACCGTCGAATTTTGTTTATCTCAACAGATGATGTCAATTCAGCGATTAAAGACAAGGCATGGAAATAACGCCATCCAAACACACATCACTACTGAGATGAATCCTACCTATATACAAATGCAAGGCTCATAAATAGTGGGTAGCTATGAAACTTCAATTTTCAAATCACCCTGTCGCCTCTTCTACTAATCAGTTTGAAACCGATGATGGATAAGACGATAAAGCTGGTCAACATTGTACCAAAGTGCCGTATCGACACCCAAAACACTGATTAAAATACTTGTTTGTTTTATGGTTATTTTTATCACGAATATTATCGATTAAACCGTCTAAATAATGTCGCTTGTAAACCAATCAAAGATTCTGTCAATGATAAGGGCATGAAAAAGAGAAAACAAACTTGAATCTATCTGTCTTAGATTTCACTCTGATATATGATTATTATTATTATCTTTTTAATTAGAAACATATGACGTCATCTAAGTAATGAAAATTAAAGGAAGTCAAAAATTAGAAAGTGAAACTGAAGTTTGGTAAATATATGAAACACAATGAATAGTAGTCACGCGATAATGGGGAAATGGAACACGTCCTCCATTGGAGCATGTATTTTGTACAAAGCAACTAAATCAGAATACGCGGAGTAAACTCTTACAAACAATCAGTCTTTCTGACATCGTTGACATCAAATCTTAATAGAAGTTGTGCCTTTTGATCCATGGAAAGGACTTCCAGGGTATTTGGGCGGTGATGGTATTGTCCTGAGGTGACCGCGATCGGCTCTGGACGATCACATAGGGCCCCTGCTATGAAGCAAAATATTTGTGACACGAGCCAGCAGAAACTGACGGTCAAAGGAACGAAACGTATTCACCGACTAAATAGATGGGTCCCTGCGTGAGCCGACCATAGATACTGTTCTGTCGCTTATTAGAAGACTGGAGGTAGGCAGCCTCAACTCGGTTGTGGAGATCTAAAACGTAAAGAAAACAGTCACTTATTTCGTAGGGTGACATAGGTGTCTATATTTCGACTGAAAGGCAGAGTTCGTGGCCGAACAGTAGCCGGGCATGAGTAAACCCTGTTGAGGAGTGGTATACAAGAAAACATTGAAGTAGAACGTCGTCCCATGTGTTTTGCGGTGTGAGACGGAGAAATGGATGAAGTATGCTCTTTATTGCTATGTTTGTCCATTCCGCTAAACTTCGGTGATGGTATAACGCAATGAGACTCTTCTGAATGCCGACGGCTTTACAGATGTGAGCAATAAGGTGATTTTCAAACACAGAGCCCTGATCTGAGTGTGAGTAGAGTGGGGCGCCAAAACGAGACACCCATGTGTCAATCAACGAGCGGCTGACAGTCATTACATCTTGCTGCTGCAATGGTATGGCTTCGCATCACTTGGTGAAGTAATCCACCGTGACCAATATGTATCGGTTGCCTCGTCTCAAAGCTGTAAGTGATCCCATAATATCTATGCCCACTCGATGATCAAGGGCATCGGTTCGCACAGAGATTAAGGGTTGCCCTAGTATTTGAAGAGGCTTCTTGATTTGGGCACATTGTTATAAACATTGAAATTCATAAAGCTTCACAAGTAACACAAACTGGGTCGGGTCCCATTGGCTCAATGGACTACGAGCTCGCTTTGTAACCATAAAGTCCTGGGTTCGAATTCTGGTAGGTGCGTACTGATGAGGAGTCCCAAACTGGGACACGAAACTATCCAGTACTCCCAGATTTTCCATTGGTTCTTTAAATGATGTCAGCTCATGATGAAATCCTCCATCCAATCAAAAATAAAGCTGTTTCATTTATTTTTCTAAATAACGATGTTGATGATTACTCCAGGGTAAACCAGAAGGATTCTAATAATTTGGTTACAGAATTTCGTCATGAGCTGACGTTGGTTAGACAACCAATGGAAAACCTGAGAGTACTGGACAGTTGTTTCGTTCCAGTTTGGGACTCTTCAGCAGTGCACATCTCCACCGGGGGTTCAAACCTAGGACCTTCTGGTTACAAGGCAAGCTCGTAGACCAGTAGTAAGCCACTGGGACAATCAACCAAATCCCTACAAACCAATACATGAATTGTAATAATTTGTTAGGCATCTAGTCTCCTATTCAACTATTCGCATCAAGTAAGGTTGAATAATAATGAATGTGCTGACATTGTTCAACAGTTGAAGTGAACTTATCGTCTTACACATATCCAAAATCAGTCATTCCTCTTTGGTACAATGTGGAACTCTTAAATGGGAGCCTAAATGACGTGGTATGGTACTCAGATCATTTTCTAATTAATAGACATACTGTTATTCGATTTCACTTGTGAAGGAGAATCCTAAAACAGAATTGCCTTCCTAGATATCCTTCCTACAAGAAAACCAGATGGTAGTATAAAGAGAGATTTGCAAAGGAAAATCACTTGAACATGACAGTATACATATTTTCATAACTCTGTTCCTTTCCAGTATAAAATGAATTTTAATAAGGACAATCAGCTGAAGGTTCAAAGCTCTATGCTTAGAAGATGTAATTGAAGATGAAATTAGCATTGTATATGATACCTGAATTGAAAATAGCCATTCAGAAAAGTTAATCAGGAAACAAACATATTACCAAAAAAAACAGTTGAAAAAAACTATTCTCCATATGTGAATAAGAAGTTTTCATATATGTACAACTGCAGTACATCAAGGGTGAAGTCTCAAGTGGAACAATTACTAAAAAGTTAAGAGAATCTATTCAAAGAACCTTTAATACTGGCAAACTACAAGTCATTTTTTCTACTCGACTGGCTGTAATTCCTCAATTGATAGTTGAAGTACCTAGACTGACAACCTCTAACTGTATTTACCAATTCAACTGTGCCTATGGAGGGGGTTATATTGGCCGTTGGTCTAGGAGCCCTTCTATGTGTGCAGAATAAATAGGCCCAGCTAGCCACTAGTACTGCCCTGGCCTTCTACTGAGCCTATAAATTCACAAATTCTATATTACTATTTTTCCTAATTTGCCTGACATTCGGCGTAGGGTTATGTTGATGCATATTATCACGCCGCTTACAGATGCCATTGAACTGTTGAACTATTGATACTATTGATTCGATATTATTTAAACAACATTAATGTTGTTCATAACACTAATCCCTTCATTATTAGTATGGACGGATGGATATAACTGTAAAGCCTGATGAAGAGCAGGCTATCGAAAAAAATATTTTCATAGAGAAAGAAAGTATGGAGGATTTAATCATGAGCTGACATCAGTTAGAGAACCACTGGAAAACCTGGGAGTACTGGACAGCTGTTTCGTCCTAGTTTGGGACTCTTCAGCAGTACGCACCCACCGGGATTCGAACCCAGGACCTTCTGGTTACAAGGCGAGCTAGCTCGTAGACGATTGAGCCACTGGGACCCGATCCAACGGTCCTTGAATTCTAACTTCTGTCAATTCACGATAAAGAGCGACAACTTTGCAATGTCTTCTTCAATGATGAGTTACAGCCTCATCTTCAACCTGCTGTACCCTACTAGTCAAGGCTTCCCACTAGAACCCCAGGCTACCTACCTGAATAGGGCCAGTAACTAGTGAGCATCAGATTAATTTTCAAGTATTGGTTTTGTAGGGATTTGGTTTGATTGTATGGAGGATTTAATCATGAGAGAAAGAAAGACCAGATTCCCAGTATAAAATGATATCATTCTACTTCGCGGGTTCTCATCAGCTAACTGCAAACCATTACCTGAAATTACAATGGTTATAAATAGTAGCATTTCATACTTCAATGTTTGAAAGGTAATAGAGAAAACATTATAAGATGAACGCATCAGGAAGATAAGTATAATAATTTATATACTATCAAACTATAAAAAAACAAAAAAGGGGGTGGAGGAAGACACAAAACAGAAATATCTAAAAAACAGTGTCAACAAGGTAACTCAAGAAGGTCAAAGTTCATCAATTTGAAAACTTACTCAATGATCTGAGCTCACCAGTATGTATGACTAATCAGTGTAATGAAAGTAATACGATTACCAAAGGAGGAAGTGAGAGATTGACTACACTCTCTTTCTGTGTGCATAAGTTTGGTCTGTGACGTTTGATTGCAATTGCTTCAGCAAATTGTAATGGATTCGCTGTTGTTTGCATGTTTAGCATTTTGAAGGATTTGGAAATCTCGACGAAATGACTTGATGTATCCACAAGGTGTGTCTGGTAATGACTGCACTTTGTAAATATCTACTTCTTTGGAATATGCTCTGAAAACCTGATAAAAGCCCTTCCTTCTATCTTTCCAATGTAATTACTGTTGCAGGTACACGTAAATTTATAAATACTGTTGTAGAAAACATGAGCAGGGTACTTATCCAGTTTCGACTGGCTTACACAGCATGTAGTACTGTATAGTGTCACCAGATTGGCTGCAGGGAAACAATATTCCTTGTTCAATAGTAACCAATCTTTTGAAAAATTATTAATCTAATCGAAAGGGTCAATGATCGGTTAAACTGGAGCACCAGTTTTTTTTTACTGATGGACACCAAAGCATGAAAACCATCCAGTAGAAATCAGCGTTACCAGGAGAGACAAAAATTGCGACCAAGGAGACTTTAAAGCTCATTTTACACTGACCTTACTCTCGAAGATGTTTTGTCATGAGAGGAATAAAATCCTCACAATTAAATCGTTCAACTCACCGAACACAATAATACCAAAGATACATGTAATTAAATCAATTGCATAAGATATTAGAAAAAAAAGGCTAACACTATAATACATTGAGGCGTATGTCCAATGAAACATATGACCGTATAAAATGATTACCTGTTTTCAACATAATGGATACGTATTTCATAGGATGAGA